GATGGTAGCTGCTTGTCCAAGTGGGTTAATGGATAAAGAACCTAAAGAGACATTGGAAATATTCACACCCTTACTGATAACCAGGTCAGGTGTGTCCTTGAGTGTGTGTTGCTTGTTTGACATGTTGTGTTAGACCAAAATTCTCAAATATTAAAGAGCTTTTTTGCCCCTCGGTCTTGGGGTTGTCAACATGAATGTTGAAATCACCAACAATTATTAAACCATTATAATTAATGCATATGAAAGATACAAGCTCATTTGGGTAAAGAAATTTTCCATGTATGTTGGAGTTTTGTATATAGTTGGTGTCAAAGTTCGTTTGTGGCCTTTTACCTCAATACCCAGATATTCAAAGAGGTGAAATGACCCAAAGAGATTTTACTACAATTTATGGCATTCCTAAGTATTAAAACCACGCCTTCTCCTTTTTTATGTTTTCTATTCTCATTTAAAAAATTGTAGTTAGGAGGCACTGATTTCATGAGTACGGTTGGCTCATTATTGTCTTTCAACCATGTTTCTGTCAGAAATAAAACATAATTAAAGCTCCGCGGAGCCTCAAGCGGCCCTCGCAGCCAAGCGCCGCTCAAGCCTATAGCCACCGCGGATGTTCCAGCACCGCCTCCCGCCAGCCACTGCCAACGCTTGTGCGCCCGTCCACCAGCCAATACGCTTTGATGCCTTCAGCAGCACTCCCTGGCGATGCACAAAAAATCTGGTGCAGATTGGGCCATGTAGCGAGGAGATACAGCTGTTTGATTAACCTAGGGGGCACAGTAGAGTCAAATTACACTTAAACTCTATTGGGCTCCTTAGAGGTTCACAAGTGTCACTCATAAAAAGTCTGGTGCAAATCGGATGATGCGTGTGTGAATAACAGACAATCATATGCATATGGCGAGGGACTGCCATTTGGCCACACCCCCACGGGTCAGTAGGCATTGACAGAGTTCATCATGTCATTATATGTGAGTTGGCAGAGGATTAAACCCATATGAATTAGAGAGTAAAAGTAAGACATACAGTCGCAAAAACAGTTGACTTCCTGTCGGAAGTGGGCGGGGCTAAGGTGATGTCATCAACTGACCATGACAATGTGATGATGGTTGGTCAGTAGTGAGACATAGGAAGTCTGATGTAGCTATGAGCTTGTGTGTGGAAGTTATCTCACTTTAATGTTTTATGGCGAATAGTCAAAGTTTGTGACTTAGCCACGCCCACATGCTTTGACATACAAAAATTCCTGTGATAACTTTTGACCTTTAATGTCTCAACTCTCTGCTGACTGAGTTTGAAGTCTGTATCCCAAAAGCTGTAGGAGGAGTTCGATCAGATGCGACGTGTATGAAAAACAGGAAACGGCGGATTTTGATCCAAAATGGCCGACTTACTGTTGGGTTTGGACCATGGCTCCAAGAGACTTTTTTGTAGGTCCTGACATGATATATATGTGTACCAAGTTTCATAATTCTAGGTTAAAGCATGGCTTGGGGCTGATCATTTAAAAAAATTCTAGGGGGTGCTGTAGAGAAATTAGGCCACGCCCATCAAGGACTGTTATGGATTCTTGTTCGGGGATGGATAGGGATGCATCCTAGTGAGTTTGGTGCAGCTGGGCAAATGTGGAATCTAGAGCCAAACGTATGGCGGTGGCTTTACCTCTGCTTCGCTGTGCTGCCACGGCCACGCCCTCTACTGAAAACTCTTGCCGCTTTAAAGCAAGTGAGACCAACTTGTTATCTGTCATCCAACACAGAATCATCTTGATTAGGGCGAGAGAGCCATAGATGGAGCATTCCAAGTGAAAAAAAGGCACTTCCTGTTCTGAGGGGGCGGGGCTTAGATGACGTCAGACTAGCTAGTTTAAGTGAGTTGGTAGCTGACAGTTCGTCAGTCTGAGGTTCCTCTAGGCAGGGGATCAGTCTGAGTTTTGAATTAAGACTGCCATATTTTGTATTTCTGTTTTTTGTAAATTTTCTTGTAGTGATCTGGACAGGTAATGTCCTGTTTAGCAGTGCCGGGGGGCCAGATACATTCTGGAGGAAGACGGGTGTAAAGATAATATCTGGACCCCAGTCTCAGACCTCAGAAATGCAGAGTGGTGGATCCTCTGGGAAGTCAGAGACAGGTGGCTTAAATGAAGTGAGGTCTGCTACGTGAGCGTTAAGGAGGGACGTCCCAAGCCGAACCTGTTGATTCATTCCATCTGTAAATTTGAGAAACTCTGGTCAGAGCAGGCTTTAATCAGCCATTTTTTTTATCATGTCCAGCCTGGAGAGTTTTTCGTCTCCCCATTGAGGTGATGGAATTGGACCACTGAGAAATAACTTCCTTATTAATTTTCCCATAGTGTCCAGGAGATTATTAAAGTCCTTTTTCAGAAGCTCAGATTTTTGCTTTGCCAGATTGTTGGCTCCAACATGCACAACTAAAGTCTCACTTGTTTCAGCTTGGCTGATCAGTGGTTAGAGAGAGCACTTTGCGAGTTTAATCAGATACAGTGTCACCAGAAAAAGAAATCACTCTCGTTTTCTTGACATTGCAAACATGACTAACTCCATTTACTGCCTCATCTACAACAATAAGCACTCTTGGCATACCTTTCATTTTCCTGGTTGTCGCTTTGTCCTTTGGGGGGTGGATGTGTTGGTCTAGCCTCATTGTTGATGTTTGAAGGTGAGGTTTCACTCAGAGGCTGAAGTACAGAAAATCTGTTTTTCAGTGGGATTCCCACGGAGTCAGAATGTTTTGAGGCTTGGGCTGGTCGCTTTGTCCTTGGGAGCGGGGTCGGTGGAGATGTTTTGGTTCCAGCTGCTTGTTCACTTCTCTTTGGCGGAGCAGGAGTTGAAGTTGAAGGTGGGTTTTGGCTCAGAGCCGGCTACACTGTCGAGGTGAGGGGTTCTCCCTGTTAGTTGTCTCATGTGATCTACAGACTGAGGCTTTTGTTTCAGCTTGGCACTCTCAGGATTCCAGGGTGAGCTGCTTGGTGCGGGATGTACGACCTCTCCGTTGATTTGAGGAAGAGTTGCTTCATTTCCACAGGTAGCGTTGATCTCAAAGTTCACTGCCAGCTGTTGAATCTTCATTTCTATAGACTGAAGTCACTGCTAATGTCCCTGGGGTTGTCCAGAGGCATTTTGCCCTGGTTCAACTTGGAGGTGAAGAAAAGTAAGGTAAAAATAAAAGTAAGACAATCCCACAGTCCTTAGGTTTGAAGTAATCCAGTTATGATGTTGATAATGTAAATATAACTATAAAAACTGTGACTTTAAAAATAACTTGCAGGCAAAGTTATCAGTAAGGAGAGAGAGAGCAGGATGAGCTGCTCCTCCTTCAGCTGTCAGAGATACGCTCTGACAGTTATCATAACCATTATAAAAATAGTTATATGTTTTATTTAAAATGTGCTTGCTGTCGGGGCACATAAAAAAAGATAAAAAATTTAAGAAAAAATTCCAAATAGAAACAAAGAAAGAGATCCAAGTACAAATTCTTGTTTGAACAGCAGAGCGTTCAGCCGAGATTTAAGCAAATATAGCTTCCAGAGAGTCCTTTGCAGTAAGTGGGAAATGTGGAAGTTTATTCTAAATACAGAGATTATATGTATAAGTTCCACACTTACATAGTGGAGAAGCTTTCTATTCAGAAAGCTCACATCGCCAATGCACACAGAACAATTCGTTACTTTGTGTGACAAAAACTGAGATAAATGGCTATTTATATTAGAGTGAGGTTTACACATCCTTTAATTTTTGTTCATTTATTTTGTGTGTGTGGAGTGAGGTTTCAGTGTATTTAGGTGAGTTTTGGTGCTTTGTCATTTGTCATTGTCCACAAAGAAAGTTTGCATGGCTGCTGCACATTTTCATGGCAGGTAAAATGTTGTGCTGCTGGAGCTGACAGTCCCATAGGAATATCACTTGGAAGAAGTCTTCAAGAGAAAGCTCTCTAAGTATGCAGGGTTGGTCAGTCACTGTAACGGGGCAGGCTGGAGAGCGAGGTCCTTCACCACTTGAGTTTAGTTGCAAAGGTTTTGCAGCCCACTCTTTCACTAGAGCCTCAAGTAGTCTTGGCATCAAGGAAGAACACAGAAGGAGAGCCATCCTTGGCACCAATGAAACGGCAGAGAGGGCTTCAAGATGGTTGTGGCTTAAGAGAGATCAGATCAGTAGAGTGAATGTAGCTAGTTAGCCATCTTGAAACAAGCTGGGGACTGATCATCCCTGGAAGTGTGATGTTGAAAGACCCAAAACACCCAATGATTCCAGGAACATACCATACCATACCAACATTATTTATAAAGCACTTTAAAACAACCACAGCTGTTACTTACAGTTTAAAAACAAACACAATTTAAAACTAGATCCCACTGGAGTTGAAAGCCAAATAAAATAGATGGGTTTTAAGACGAGCTTTAAAAGTGGACAGTGAAGGGGCCTCTCTAACCTGCAAAGGCAAGTCGTTTCATAACTTGGGACCCATGACAGAGAAAGCCCTGTCCCCTCTGAGCTTCCTTCTTGATCTCGGTACCTCCAAGAGCAGCTGATCTGTGGACCTGAGAGACCAATAGGGTATGTAGGGGTGAAGAAGCTCAGAGAGGTAAGCCAGGGCAAAATTATGCAGTGATTTAAAAACAAACATAAGAATTTAAAAAAATGATCACTGATCACTTAAAACATCACTGATAATGTGTCTAGATGCATCAGTGGATGTATTCACACATTCACATCATTCAGAAAATTAATTCATTTTCTGAATGAATTCACATTCAGAAAATCTAAGTGTCTTCCTTCTAAAAATGAGAATGCAAATTCTTCATGTTTTTCTCATCCTAATCAACTTATTGCTATCTAAAGATAACATATATAAACTTGCTTCTGTGGTGAAGAAAATGTAAGTGCCAGTGAATGTAACTCAGGCTCATGGGTCACTAAAGTGATACATAAAAAATGGATTTCTTCTGAAGTTTTTCTCACTTTTATTTTGGGTTTTGTCCCCAGGTAGAGCTGGAGCTGAGAGCCCAAGTCAGGCGCTTTATAGAACTGACAGGTCACCTGCCTCATCACATGGATGGACACCAGCATGTTCATGTTCTGCCAGGTATTGCATAATGGTTAGCACCTCAGGTTTTTATGTGCGAACTAATCTAAATGGCATTGCAATAAAATACCAACTACTTCTGAGCGGATGTAAATAGATGGCTTATTGTCCAATGTGGGAAATTTGTCATGGTGAGTGACAATGTCCACTATGTAAGTGGACATTGTCATTTACATTGATAATTTTGGACTGTGTGTAACCACTTCTGAAAGTGAATACACAATTGGACTTATTTGGAGTAAACAGGATTATTTGATTTTATTTGGATGATTTGGGTTCTTGGAGATTTTGTAAAGTGCTTTGGGCTGCTACTTGTAATTAGGAGCCACAAAATAAGTTGAAATTAACTTGATGGCAAGAGGATTTAATTCTGTTCTACTGTTTCTACTGTCCAGATGTTCGTGAAGTGTTTGCACAGGTCCTCTCTGACGTAAGGATTCCATTCACTCGTGTTCCAATAGAGCCAGGTTTGCACAACTGTCCATGGGTGCCAGCACACCTCCACACTTTTTACATGGAAGTGGAAAAGGATGCCCTGGACTCAATCCCTGTCTTCAAACACTATGGAATCAGGTATATTTGTGTGTTTATGAGCCAAAGATTCAAAGATAAAGCATCTTCTGGTTTTTTTTTCTATTATTTTTATTTTTATTTTTTTGATTTTTGTTTTCAGCTTGGGATCTCCTTAGTTTCAAAACTCACATGCTTACATTGCTGGAGAGAAAAGATGCTGGAAAAGAGGGGAAAAAGCCATCCAATCTGGCATATGTCAAAAGATGTTATTAACCCCTTAACCTGCACCAGAACGCCCTCGTGCCATTTTTCCATTGTATTTTACAGGGGTGAGACTTAAGGGTTTAAATTCTGCCTTATATATAAGCCTAGAGCCCCTCCCCCCCTTTTGATTGACACCGTATTCGACCAATAATGTTATGAAATGGCTTTTTCTGAGCCAATAATATCCAGGGAGTGACTTGAGCTCATTTTGACATGCCTGTATTCTTTCTGGAGTATTTCTGACTGGTCAATTCGGAGACTAAATCTAAAGCCACTGATGTGTAGCCAACACATGTCCTGTCATAAGAATATAAGGCATTTTGGGGTTTGTTTTGACATGAATCCACCAGCTGCATGCGTAACCATGCATAATCTGTGCGCCTTTGTTGCGTCAAAGTTAGGCTCTGTGCGCCATCATATGCCCTAATGCGTAACGGTGTTTACAGGACTTTTTCTCACCAACGGAGAGACACGTTGTCAGAAAACTGGATGTATTTCTTCAGCAGAACTTCACAGCTCACCGGAGTGGATGATTATGGCCGTAAGAGTGCTGACAAGTTTTGGATTTGAGAATACCGGAAACTTTCAGTCATTTGCTGCTATAGTCAGAGCGAGGTGGGTAGAGCGAGAATGAGGGGCCGAGGGAATGGTGGCATGGGAGGAACATGGGGTGACACTGGCAGGGTTAGCGTACCGTTAGAAGGGGGGGTTGGACTTCTGATTTGGCGATGTAGAAGAAGGAAGCAGGGTGAAGGAGTTCCCAGCCAACTTTCTTTAAATTACTTTAAAACCGGAGGTATACACTCCTATCAAGCACTGGACTGACAGAAGCACTGTTCCTGAACCCTTGCGACATTATTATGGCCAGTGATAATCCTAAACAACAAAAGCTTTCTACTTCAACCAGGCGAATGAATAGCCTAGCTAGCAAGGTAGCCTCAATGGCCACGGCTTCCTCCGACTCTGAACCACCTGGCGAAAATAAATGCGGAGATCCTGTTTCCATGTCCCAACTGATCACAGAACTATCTAAGCAGCGGAACAACTTTAAAGATGATGTGGCCACATTAATTCAAGAGTCGATTCGCCCTCTACAAGTGTCGGTGGACGGACTGTGGGACGAAGTTGGCTCTTTTCAGGGCTGCCTTGTAGCAGCAGAAAGCCTGGCAGGCGATAACTTTCAACGCATATGCGAAGCTGAAGCTGCCATTAAGACTCTCCAAGCCCAAAACACAACCTTGCTGGAACGCCTGGAAAATCAATCTCGCAGATCCAATCTACGTATACTTAGGATACCTGAAGGCAGTGAAGATGGCCAGGATCCAACTAAGGTCATCTCCAAGTTGCTAAAGGATGCTATGGGGAACAACATATTTCCTTCTCCCCCGGAATTGGAGCTGGACCCAAGCCCGCAGCAGGATGACCACCGCGGTCCATATATGTGTGTGTGTGTGTGTGTGTGTGTGTGTGTG